AAATGAACAAATAATTTAGGGGTTGGGGGGGGGGAATAAAAGTGATAAATCCACACACAGACTGAGGGAGAGGGAGAAGAGATAGAAAACACAAATTAACAATATCTGTAATAAAAAGGGGACATCACTACAGATCTTACTGACATTAAAAGAGTGAGAGAATGTCATCAACACCTTTGTGGTCGATATATGTAATGTCAGAGTAAACAAACACATTTCTTTTAAAACACAATTTAACAAAACCAACTAAAAAAAGAAATGGAAAATCTGAATAGCCCTCTATCTGTTAAAGAACTGAATCTGTAATCAATCAAAATTAACTTACAGTGATAGAAGCAGGTCACCCAGAGATTGGAGAGTGAACAGGAAGGGGGGCAGCTATGCCCAATATCTTGATTGCTGTGATGGTTTCACAGACACACGCATACATCAACACTAATCAAAATGCACACTTTCACAGGTGCCGAGTATTGTATGCCTGTTACCCCTCAGCAAAGCTGTGAGGAAAACAATGAAAACCAAACTATACAGTAAAATAATAATCTACGGGTCTGTCTCAAGAATGCAAAGTTGATTTAATATTTGAAAATCGATTCATGTCCTTCATCACAGTAACATAATGAAGGAGGGAACGTGTACATTCATCTCAATAGATGCAGAAAACAGAAATAATTAATCTTCAGAGGGCTAGCACAAGAAAACATGCAAGTGATGAGCTTCCACTGAGGAGGATGCAGAATGAATAAATAAATAAATAAATAAATTTTAACTCACTATAGGACACATTACTGTAAAATTTCAAATAAGAGAGGAAAAAAATATATATAACCTAAAAGCTTCTGAAGAAAACCAAAGAGTCACATATAAAGACAGAGGCTGGAAGGAGGGGCATAATAGGGTGGGAAGGGATGGGAGATATCCGTAATATTATACTATCAACAATAAAAATATATTTAAAAAGAAAGAAAGACAGGGAATCTAAGTAGGTGCGGGACTTCTCACAGCGACTGACAGCAGGAAGACAAAAGAACGTCGTCTTCAGGATTCTGAGAGAAAAAACTGCAACCTAAAATAGCCATCCCGTCACACTCTCCATCAAACGGATGGCAGGAGAGTGGAGACATTCTCAAATATTCCACAGCGCGTGTTCTGCTGTGCTCTTTCTCAACGGGATACTGGTTTTTCCCACCAAAACAACAAGATAAAGATATGTCAGGCAGAGGACTGGAGAGAGAGGCGAGAAGAATCCCCGGATGGAGGTGAGGGAGTCCCCAGGACAAAGGCTGTGTGGCTGGGGCACAACCAGGCTGGTTTATAGCAGAAAGATTTCAGGTACTAGTTCTAGAAAAACAAATGAATTGATAGAATATCTGATTTTTTTTTTTTTTAAGCCTGATTGTGAGAGAGTTAGGGTCCACTCAGAGTTTGGGGTTGAACTAATGATAGATATACTAATGTAAGGAAACAAAGCAAGTGAAAAACCAAGAGCTTCACTCCAGATGAAACAAAAAGTCGTACAAGAGAGAAAATATTTGTCTAGAACAGTTTTTACAGAGTCCACGAGCGTGTATACTTAATATTGATTTAACTATACTAGAATGGGACAGGCTAAGTTGGAGCATTTAAAGTGATGTAAAAGAATTAAATCTTGCCCAGCTGATGTGGCTTGGTGGCTGAGCGTCAACCCATGAACCAGGAGGTCACAGCTCTGCTATTCCTGGTCAGGGCACATGCCTGGGTGCAGGCTCCATCCCCATTAGGGGACGTGCAGGAAGCAGCCGACCAACGAGTCTCTCTCATCATTGATGTTTTTATCTCTCTCTCCCTCTCCCTTCCGCTCTCTGAAATCAATAAAAACATCATTTTAAAAAAGAATTGAATATTATCTTTCATAATACAAACTAATAGATAACAGCCAAAGCTGTGTGTTTTAAATAATCAAAGAAATAGCAATGTAAGAAAACTGAAGATTTTTCGATTCTTATAAGTATATTTCCAGTAGGACATGATCTCACTCATCTAGAGGAAATGATGAACAACATAGACTGATGAACAAGAACAGACCCAGAGATAAGGAGCCATGGACCAGACTGTTGGACCTCAGAGGGAGGATGGGGATAAAAGGGAGAGATCAACCGAAGGACTTGTGTGCATACATATGAGCCTAACCAGTGGTCAAGGACAACAGAAGGGGGTTGGGGGCATGAGTGGGGAAGGGTGGGGGATTGGGAGGGGGAGTTGAGGACAAATATGTGATACCTTAATCAAAAGAGAAATTTTTTAAAAAAGAAAAGAAAACTGAAGATATCTGCCAAAGGAATCAGCTGAAAGAAATAAATGTGGTTGCCGAAAGCGGTTTGGCTCAGTGGATAGAGCATTGGCCTGCGGACTGAAGGGTCCCAGGTTCGATTCCAGTCAAGGGCATGTACATTGGTTGCAGGCACATCCATGGTGGGGGGGGGGGTGCAGGAGGCAGTTAGTCGATGTTTCTCTCTCATCGATGTTTCTGGCTCTCTATTCCTCTCCTTCCTCTCTGTAAAAAAACAATAAAATATATATATATATATATATATTTTATTTTTTTAAAGAAAGAAAAAAGAAATAAACGTGGTTGCCTCTGGGGATAGGGGAAGACAGGTCAGGCTGCTCTTTTAAGTCTTAGATGGTTTTAAAAAGTATTGTGTGACTTTTAAAACGATGTGCATGTGTTACTTTGATTTTAAAAAAGCAAAAACGACTCTCTGCCATCATAAGCCAGCACTGTCTATAATATCTTATTTGATTACTTCGTTACAATCACAACAGGTTTGGGAACAACACAGCTGACTTTTGCTGCTGAAGCAGAAGAAGAGATGTGCACGTTTGCTAGCGAGAAGCCTGCCAGCTGTGTGCCCTCAGCACGCCCAGGCGCCCGGTCCGCATGTGTTACAGAGGGACACAGAGTGCCGTTAACCCAGCAAATCCTTTCAACCGAGGTCAGTTAGCAGAGCTTCGGCCGCAATGAACGCAGATCATTGAGGAGGATGAAATAAGACAGCCTTGCTCCATCCATTTTCGCTACCTTGTCCATTTCCCAGGGCTCAGATGGAAGATATTCTACAAGAAACCAAGCTCACGATCTCCCTTCTCAGGGTCATTCAATTTGCTCTGAAATAGTGAGCCTCTTGAGGGAAATCTGCCAGTGAGGATAAATGGAAGGCCTCTGGAAGGGCAGGCTGTCTTATACATCCTTAGGCGTACTCCTCAAAATGAGCGGGGAAGGTGGCAAAAGAGATAAAGAAAAAAAAAAAAAATCTGCCTTTCGCACCGAGATGGACCTGCTTACATTTCAGTCACCTGATTTGTTTCGTCACTGCCTCTCTTCTCCTTTGCATTTTGGGTACCTGCTAAACACCGTATACATAAGCACTGCAGGAGGAAATAAGGAGGTGGGAGTCCAAGACAGGACCCAATGCACACCCTCCAAGATCAATGCCAAGCAGTGTCTCTTAGTCTCAAAATCACCGTCTTACCTGCCCCAGTCAATGAAGCCTTGAGGTTTTCGAGTACTTTGGATTGCTAATTATTAGAAGAGTTAAGAAAGGATATTCAACCATCTTTGAAAATATATATATATTTCTACTGATTTCAGAGAGGAAGGGAGAGGGGAGAGAGAGACAGAAACATCAAGGATGAGATAGAATTATTGATTGGCTGCTTCCTGCATGCCCCACACTGGGGCATCGAGCCCACAACCTGGGCATGTGCCCTTGACCGGAATTGAACGGGGGACCCTTCAGTCTGCAGGCTGATGTTTTATCCACTAAGCCAAACTAGCTAGGGCTGCAACTATCTTTTCAAAAAAAATCAGCCAACTGATCATCTGCTATGCTATTTTGGGCAACGACCTGCAGAAATATTGCCCACTAAGGAAAACCTGTCTCTAACTCTTTTACCTGAACTCAATTCTAGACAATTTAGGAATATCAGATCCACCCCCACACACACATTTGACAGCCCTTCCTCATAAGAAATTGTCAAATTTCCTTTACAGCTGAAACTAGAAAACCAAGCAAGGCAGAAATTGGCTTTTAGCCATTAATGGATGTACCTTTTTATATATAGAATCAGCTAGGAGGGGCAGTTTGGATCTTCTGAAAGATCACTCTCCACAGCCTCTGAAAATCAACTCAAAATAAGTATTCTCACCCAACTGGTGTGGCCCAGTGGTTGAGGATCAACCTATGAACCAGGAGGTCACAGTTTGATGCCCAATCAGGGCACATGCCCGGATTTCGGGCTCAATCCCCAGTAGGGGGCATGCAGGAGGCAGCTGATCAATGATTCTCATCCTTTTCTCATCTCTTTCTCCCTTCCTCTCTGAAGAAGGAACAAAAAATATTTTTTTTTAAAAAGTAAGTATTCTCTTTGTTTATTCATATGCGCTTAAATGAATAAGTAAGCCCTTATGCTTCTTTCTTCTTTGGCATCAGCAACCACAGAATGTGACTCAGGCCACATAAATGTCTCCTTGGTTGCCCTCCATTAAGAACGCCTCCCCATTGCGTGGCCAGCTCACTCATATCCGGGACCCAACGCTGGCCATTAGCCAGGCCCTGATCCATCAGCACATGCTCACTGCACTGTTTTGGTGAGACTGACTGTTCATTTTAACCATTATCACTTGAACATAAAAAACAAACAAACAAACAAAAAAAAACACAGGGTAGCCACTCTCCTCCTCTTACTTCGGACCACCCAAGTTTCCCTGGTGTAGACACAGATCACCAAGAGAAGTATCTGCATTTACCTTTTCACAGGTAATGATCCCAATCACCTCGTGTTCGCCGGATGTCCCTCTCATCTTATTTTTCACCTCCTTCCCAACTCCTACCTTCCCAGCAATGGCTTTGAGCATTGAATGGGGGAGACTGGTATGTTACTGAATGCTTTTCGAAGTGGAATTCACATCTTCTCAAGCCCTACGAGGTAGGGAAGGAGGTGGGGGAGCGGAGAGGTACCTCGGTGTCAGAGCTGTTGCCATTCAGAGCCTCGATGTTTGGGTCCCTCCAGTCTTCTGCGAGTGAAGGGATGTAATTGTCTGTCAGAGCATCCCAAACCCTATGAACAAAGAGAAGCTCTCATTAGCACACATCTGGGGCCCCGCCCACCTGGAGGAAGGAAGAGCTGGGCCGGGGAGGCAGGCTCTGTGGGGGCCAGGCTGAGGTCATCTGCCGTCCAGCAGGCAGGAGCCAAGCTGCTTAGAGCTGAATCAGAGGCTCTGCCACCGCCCAGAGAGAAGGAGCCAAGAGAACGGACCCTGGCCAGAAGCTGCCAAGTGAACCATGTTTGCTTCAGAGAAGGGGAGCCATTGCGATACAAATGATGGAGTCTACAATCAAATCACCTCTGGCAATTAAAAAACATTGCCCTAGAAAACAAATCTGGCCCTCAACAAAATAGTTCATATCTCCTAAAACTGAGCAATGCCCATTTCCTACTGGCAGAGAAGACAGAGAGAGATGGAGACACAGAGAGAGAGAGAGAGAGAGAGAGAGAGAGAGAGAGAGAGAGAACGATCTGGGCAGATTCTCTGGCTGGATCTCATTAAGAACAGGGTCATCCTGAAGTGCCAATGCTGTTGTGCTTACTTACTACCCAAAATGTTTGGCGAGGTCACGGGTGGCACAATCCTGCCCTCTAACAGCGTAGAGTCTAGGTGTGCCCTGTCTCCCACGTGGACCTTCCAAAGAAAATGTATGAAAGGGACCATTGAGCACACCTCTGTCTGCATGATGACCTCAGTGGGAGAAAATGGGCCCCCTTCACGACATTTCCTTGTAGCATTCTGAAATGTACTTTATAAGACAGGGCTTTTTGCCATCCTTGTTGTTTAACTCATTTCAGAAAGATTTGTTTGGGGGATGGATGGGGGGAAGAATCCTGAAGTCACAAACTCTCACAGGGAGGAAAAGAAATGCATTAGTTAATACCCAGAGATTAGTGTAAATCTCATACAATAATGCCATCCCTGGAAGCCAGCAGCACTTGAGTTAACCTTAAATAAATAAAAGGTGGGTCTACACAGTTTCCTTCAGGAGTATATGCATGCCATGATACCTATGAAATCAAGGGTAGGAAATACTAATGCAGTACAAGGAAATAGACATCCTATATAATAAAAGCCTAATAGGCTGTGTCCAGTTGTCAGATCGACTGTTCAACCAATCAAAGTGTAATATGCTAGTGATAGGCTAAGGTCGCTCAACCGCTCGTTATGATGTGCACTGACCACCTGGGGGCAGATGCTCCAACCGGTAGGTTAGCTTGCTGCTGGGGTCGGGTCCCTTGGCCTGGCCTGCACCCTCTCACAATCCGGGACCCCTCAAGGGATGTCAGAGAGCCAGTTTTGGCCCAATCCTGTAGGCCACTTCCTTTGGGTGGGCCAAGGCTCACAGCTGCTGTTCCTGCTGCTGTTCCTGCTGCTGCTGCTGCTGCTGCTGTGGCACAAGCCTCTCCTGATCAGGGCTGATTGGGCATGAGCCAGGCGCAGTGGGGCCGGGATGAGCAGGAGCATCAGGCAGAAGCTGCAGGTGGCGTTGAACTAGGGTTTTGGGCCAATCCTCGCAGTCCACCCTGAGGGACCCCACCCATGCACAAATTCATGCACCAGGCCTCTAGTTTAAAAATAAGCAATATGAAAAAAATAAAAATAAATAAGCAATGTGTATATATGTGTATCAAATTCAAAACATGACAAAATGTGGATTAAGATGCTGAAACAATAAGTGCAAATCATATATATATATATATATGATTTGCACTTATTATATTTATATATAATTTGCACTTATTGTTTATATATATATTGATATACACAAACATATATAGAGAGAGAGCTGTTAGCACAGATACTTCAAATAAAAATTATATGTATAAATTGAGGGAGGAAAGTGCTCTTAACATATAAAATCAGGTATAATATATATGATTCATGGATATATAAGCAGAATTTTTTTTTTTAATCTTCAGCTGAGGATATGTTTTTTATTGCTTTTAGAGAGAGAGGAAAAGAGAGAGAAACACCATTGTGAGAGAGAAACATCCATCAGTTGCCTCCCACACATGCCCCAACCAGGATCAAACCCACAACCTAGGTATGTGCCCTGACCAGAAATCAAACCCTCAACCTTTTGGTGTACGAGATGACACTCCAACCGATTGAGCCACACTGGCCAGGGCGCAAAGAGATTTTCCTAGTGTGTGATGCATACAACTCAGGCGGGGAAACACACAAGGTAACAGCAGTGCTGGGGTTATCGGCTTATTCGTTCTTTTCCTATAATTACAGGAAAGCACTTTGCAAGATCTCATTGTTAGACAATCGCTTCAGCAGGATTTCAGAGTCTCCTTCTTAAACACGGGCGAAGACCCAGTCTCTATCGGGCACTATATTAGAGCTGCACTAATCCGGCCTAATTCTAAATCCGAGTCTCATTAGCACTCTAAAGCCAAAAGGCAAATGCGACCTGCTTGCTCTCTGCAGGACAAAAAGATGGGTGGACGGCAACTGAGAGCATCACACCCCTGCACCCTGTTCTCTGCTGGAGAAGGAGCAGCGAGGCACGCAGGCATCGACCTTCAGACTTGTCCCTGCAGCAAGTCCTGGAAAATGAAATTCAGCAAAGCCCAAAATAGGCAGGAGCCTCTCTTCCCTCTCTCCCGGGCAGGATGGAAACTGGGAACGTCGATAGACTGCACACTTCCCAATGACCTTGAAACTGTTCGCAGCCTTACAGAGACAACTGGGAACTCTCGCAAGTCTTTTAGGGACCAGTGACTCTTCTCATCTGGGCCTTCCCTGGCACACTCTGGATTTTACCTTCAGATTCTAGATTTTTTTAAATATATATTTTATTGATTTTTTTTACAGAGAGGAAGGGAGAGGGATAGAGAGTCAGAAACATCGATAGGAGAGAAACACTGATCAGCTGCCTCCTGCACACCTCCTACTGGGGATATGCCTGCAACCAAGGTACATGCCCTTGACTGGAATTGAACTTGGGACCCTTCAGTCCGCAGGCCCAGGCTCTATCCACTGAGCCAAACCAATTAGGGCCGGATTCTAGATTTTCAGTGACAACTTCCTAAACTGTTGCTAAAACCTCAGGATTCAAGCTGTTCTCATTCTCTTTTGGGTTTTGTTCGGGTTTTTCTTTTTCCGTTCAAGGTACTTTTTATCCTCAGAGGTTCAAAGCAGCCTTTAGACAGGACTCTCATCTCTTTGTAATCCCAACGCGTACCTTTCCTATCTTTATTTGGTGCCCATTTAACACCAGTAACAACGCACAGCCAACACTTGGCCAGCAAGCACTTACCATAAGCCATGCACTATCCTAAACTCTTTATATGGATTCATTCATTCATTTATTCATTCATTCCAAACAACAGCTCTGTAAGGCAGACAGTAATGAGGAGAAGCTGGAACGTGGGGGAGTCCACTTATCCTGTCTAAGTTTACACAGCCAGTAACGACAGAGGTGGGACTGAGCCAGGCAATAGAGCTTACAGAGCCTACATTCCTAAGGACTTCAATCTTCCGATCCTTGATGAATTTTATGATAGGCATAGGCATCAGAATCCTACACCAAGCTCCAAATCACACCCTAGAACAGCAGTTCAGAAACTGGCTGTGCATGCAAAGTCTAGAACTACATTGTTCTGGGCAATATGCTTTCGTCAATCTACAGGAGACAAAGGGCCCCCGGACAGCAGGGCCACGCCCTGCTTTCTGTCTCCATCTCCATCCCGGGAGAGGCTAGGTGGAAGGCAGCCACAGATAGGGACCAGGAGCCTGGGCCAGGGGGGGGGGGGGGGGGGAAGCTCGCCGTGAGGAAGAGCCGGAAGGGCTTTCTCCCCAGAGAGGCTAACTATGATGGTAAACAGGGTCCTTGGAAACAGACATAGTCCCTTTTACCGGGACACTGAGGTGGATTGTAAAATTCCACTTCCCTGGGAGGCATCCTGCCATTGACTCTTTTCTTGGGGGAAGGAGACTCTGAAAGCCATCCACTCTATCCTTTACCAGAGAAGTAAGATTAACTGAAGCCAGACAGGTCAGTGGGTTAGAGCGCTGTCTCCATGTGCCAAGGTTGCAGGATCGATCCCCCATTAGGGCACATACAGGAATCAACCAGTGAAAGCATGGACAAGCAGAATGACACATCAGTCTCTGTGTCTCTGTGTGTGTGTCTCTGACTGTCTGTCTCTCTTTCTCTCTCGTCAGTTAAAAAAAGGAACTAAGATTAGACAGGTTGCCTCAATTTCTGTCATGTTGCCATGGTACCCAGGGTTCAATTTGTTCTCAGTCCCTATAATAGCAGAGACGGCTTTTAGGTGCCTATTTTATAGCTTGGGCTTAGTTGCCTGAAGAATGGACTAAACCGTCTTTCACCAGAGGACTAGGCATTTGGGAAAGGGTGATGGCAGAGGTGAACAAACTGAACAGAATGGGTTCTCATAATACACCTGGACAAAAAGTTAGGTCTGAAACTGGCAACGCAGCCATCAAGGCTACATTATTCTAGCTACACACACACACACACACACACACACACACACACACACACACCCCTACATACCTATTCCGGACAATATAGTAGCAGTGCACAGGTCTTATTAGATTTCCAACTTGGTAACATTTCCCTGAATCCCCTCTAGCGACTACAGCCCTTGTCCAGTGGTTCATTTGCATCTAGCCATCACTATCCACACTTAGATGTGTGTTAATGTGGATATACTTTTGCGGTTAATCCTTAATAATAATTAATTACTAGGACATGAATGACTTTGAACAATTTTTCAGATTGCTTAAATACAATTAATGCAATCTGTGCCTTCTGTATGGAGAAAAAAGAGAATTAACTTTCCAAAAAAAAAAAAAATCAGTTATCTGTCATCTTTTCCTATTTGGTTATTTGGTTTTTACTTGTCTTCAATGTAAAGTGTGGCTGATTGTAGGTCGTTTATTTATTGTGCAGATTTTGTTTTTTGTTTGTTTGTTTTTGTTTTTTATTTAATATATTTTTATTGATTTTTACAGAGAGGAAGGGAGAGGGATAGAGAGCTAGAAACATTGATGAGAGAGAAACACCAACCAGCTGCCTCCTGCACAACCCCCACCGGGGATGTGCCCACAACCAACATATATGCCCCTGACCGGAATCGAACCTGGGACCTTTCAGGACGCTCTACCACTGAATCAAACCGGTTTCAGCCAGACTTTGTTTTTAACTTTTGATCCCACAATTCCGTCTGAAGAATAAGAAATCTGTTAGGTCTCCCGTGGCTGGCCCCTCCAGGGCACTTGGAAGAAGGCTGCTGAGAGGAACCCCAGAAGGCAGGAGGTGGGGTGAGAACTGCCCCTTCTCATTTTGTATTGGTCTCTAGGAACCTCGGGCCTCCAAGTTCAATCTCTTATGACAAAGGGAAGGTTGATCACATATAAGCAAAGAAGAGATTCTGAAATAGTTTCTAAATTTAAAAACAGGAGCTATATATTCAAGTCTGACTCTCATTTAATGCCCACATACCCTGGTGCAGTGGTCAACAGAGAAACAAACACTCCAAATACACTCCAAATACTAAACCTAAGCAAGTTTATTGGAACCTTAGAGCTGTGGAGGAGAACCGTAATCAAGTCAGCTATTAAATTATCTTCTTCCTTTACCTCACTATATTTTACAGTTAAAATAACTGAATAGGTGTCTATAAAACAGTATGTAGTTGAATCCTCATTTTTATTTTAAGCTGTAAAGATTCAGATATGCTGACCACAATGTTAACTTCTCTCTTCCCAGATTCCTCCCTCCACACTACCCCAAAAATCATACTTTTATCTCTAAGGAATTCTTCAACCTTTGGTCTGTTAGCTGAGTCAGTCAATGAGGCAGGCAAATTGGGGAAAGTCAGGATAAGACACTAATCCCATGTGATGGTAATTGACATTGAGTGACCTCTGTTAATGTGCTACTTGCTGGCTGGGCCTCCATCTTTAATGAGGCAGTCGGGGGTGAAATAGGGGAGAGATGATTTGTTGAAAGCAAAAGGAATTGGACACGTCGTAAAAAATCATTTTCAGAGCGCAGCCCGGGTGAGGTGAGAAATGAGGTTCTTTGCCAGTCCTTAGTCCCGCTTCATCAAGACTGAGCTCTGGGGGTTTCAAAGATGAGGACCCACGCAGTCAACTAGAGTTAGTGACTTGCCCAAGGTCACACAGCGACTTAGTGAGAGTCTGAAAATTAGAATTCATAGTCTTTATATTTCTAGTTCATTGCCTGGTGCAATGGACTAGAGTGAAAAAATACTCTGTATAACAGAGCCCCACGGTCATCCTTTTTTGGACTTAAAAGAGTCGAACAAATTATAACAGTCTCAGTATCTAAAAAGAATTCGTTTGAAACTTGAAATGGAATAACATACAGCCCACTGTGATAGTCCTGGCCACCAGAATGACCGGTTCTCTATGCCCAGGTCTTCTGGTGAGCATTAATGAAAAAGAGAAGACAGAAATGGATTAGAACTAGCTAGAAACACTGTGCATATACCTATAAGGCTAGCTATTATCGCCATACCATTCACTCAATAGTCAATATGTCATTCAAAAATATTTGATCACTTACTACACCCCAAGCACTACATTAGACAGTGGGGGTATAATAGTAAGACACAAATTTGTTGCCCTGTATTCAGAGATACAGTCTTCATTAGCCACCAAATACGCTACTGTCTGCCCCATATGGTCAGGTTCAATCCTCTGTCTAGGACATGCCTCTTATGCAGCTTGCCTGTGGCCAGCTCTTCCTGCTCAAGTCCATGAAGAGAGAAACCAAAAGCACAGCTGTTCTCCAAACTTCCATGACCAACTATGTGGCATTTCTTGGGTGATGCCCAAAGAACAATTAGTGCATGTTTTCTCTCTGCAGGGAATTGGCTGTTTTTTGTTTTCTTCTTATCAATGCCCCAAACACTCTTTAATTTATGTGAAAAATTACCCCTTCTCTTTCTAGTCCCCCTCAAACAGCTCTGTTCTCAGATCTCTTTTCTCAACTACTGTTCTGAGAAGGTGACTAGTGAGTGGCCCGAGGAACCTGCACACTCAGAAGCCCCTTCATCCAGTTATCATCTTTGTATTCCCCCGGGTAACTCCATGGGCTCAAGTTCATTTCTAGACATTTTTTCCCATGTGTGAGGGGTGGGAAGCAATTTGGAGATGTTCACAATTCTGGTGTTTCTTGAAGCAAATTGCTCTAATGACAGATTCCTCCATCACCGTTTTGTTTTTTTCTAGTCCTTATTTTTTAAAGCTGGGTGGGTTACTACTGGCATAAAGAAAGCTGAAGATAGCCCTAGCTGGTTTGGCTCAGTGTAGAGAGGGTCCCAGGTTCCATTTTGGCCAAAGGCACATCCCTGGGTTTTGGGCTTGATCTCCTATAGGGGACCTGCAGGAGGCAGCCAATCAATAATTATCTCTCATCATTGATGTTTCTCTCTCTCTTTCCCTCTCCCATCCTCTCTGAAATCAATAAAGATAGATAGATAGATAGATAGATAGATAGATAGATAGATAGAAGGGAAGGAGGGAAAGAAGGAAGGAAGGAAGGAAGGAGGGAAGGAAGAAAGGAAGGAAGGAAGGAAGGAAGGAAGGAAGGAAGGAAGGAAGGAAGGAAGGAAGGAAGGAAGGAAGGAAGGAAGGAAAGAAAAAAGGAAAGAAAGCTGAAGATAGACAGACACCCCCCCCCCCCCAAAGTTTACCATACTCCTGAAATTCTATTTTATATCTAGGGGAAACTTTCTATTTCCTAAAATCCCTTCACTTCTTTAAGGTTTCAATTTAAGAACGCTCCACAGGGGACCATGAAGGGATATGACAGTACAAGAGCAGCCACTACCGGGGAGAGCACTGCCCGGCTGACATGAAAAGGTAGTAAGAAGCCAGGAGCTCATAGACAGAATCTAGGTCTATGTCAAGGTCCCCAGACCCCAGGGCTCTTGTATGAAGCAAGAGAGGGTAACTTAAGACGTCTTACTCCTCGTCCTGCAGGGTTTCCTCCTCCTCTTGGATCTGGAACTGGTTCTTCACGGGAGCCAGGTTCTCGGTCTTGGCATTGTAGTTCCGGAAGCAGACATTGAGCTTCTCGTCAAATTCATTCACGAGGTCCTCCATGGACTTGAAGCTGATTATTTCAGAAGAGAAATTCTCAAGCTCAGAGAGGGAGGGGTCCTCCAGGTGGTGGGGCGAGGAGCCATACAGACACCGTGGCTTCTCCTCCTGTTCCTCTGAGCAGCAGGGCCGGAGGTCCTCAAACTCTTCATCCAGACTCACCAGTGGAGCCTCCATCCTGGCGCAGCTGCAACGTTCGGGGTTCGTGTCTCTGGAAGAAATAGACAAGCTAATGTGAGTTTGGACTGGGCGTTGGGGCCAGCCCTGCTGAGGGAACGTAATCACATATTCCATTACTCTGACTCTCTCTAAACACAGAGTCCACTTAACTGGCCTCCATCCCTCCTGCACTTGCTCATTAGTCTGCACTTAAGGAGTTCAAATATCACTGTCAGTATGAATAACACTAATCTAAATAGAATACACTTGACAGTATTATAAGAAATGCTAAAAGGTATTCTTTAAGAAGAGGAAGAAGGAAAAAGTAAAGATAAAAATTATGAACAACAAATACATATCTATCAAGTGAGCCCAAAAATCAAGTGAGTTAAAAATCTGAGGAGCAGAATAAACTGGTGTATATAATAGAATCAGGGGCATAGAAAGAGAGTGGACTGATAATTCTCAGGGGGAAAGGGGTGTGGGGGGTGCAAGAAGAGACTGGACAAAAATTGTACACCTATAGATGAGGACAGTACAGGGAAGGAAAGGGCAGAGGGTGGGGTGGGAACCGGGTGGAGGGGAGCTATGGGGCGGAGGGGAAGGAGAACTATTGTAATAATCTGAACAATAAAGATTTATTAAATTAAACAAATAATAAATACATAAATAAATAAATAGAATACACTTGAGAGGTATACCTGCTTCCAATTCCCTGCTCTGAAAACCAAAGCATCGTGGTTCAGTGTGCAGCCCCTGGACCAGACCGCCCAGGCTCCCATCCTGTTCTGCCCCTTCTCAGCTTCGACCTTATTAAGTTTCTTAACTCTCTGTGTTTCCTTTTATTCTTCCCAGGACAGAAATAATACCAGGATGTACCCCCAAGGGTTGTCATAGGGTAAAAGGAGTGAACACAGGGAAGAGCTTAGGACAGTGGCTGGCAGACAACAAGTATCAATATTGTTCGAAACAGGCCCATATCCTTAACTGCGTGCTCTGGAAACTGGAAGTTCCTCCTAACTTATTTGGGGGGAAAAAACAAAAAAAAAACCTGACCTGAAGCTAAGCTCATTTGGCAACTAAACCCGATTTACATGAATATAAAAGCTGCTTATGGTTTTAAGTTAGCCCATTTAGTGTGTTTTGCTGCAGAAATATTAGTTTTTTAAACTATAGAGATGGTTGCGCCGGTCCCCAGGGGATGCTCTGCAGAATAGGCACTCTAGTACTGCCTTCCACATGTTGAGATCATTATAATAAATTCCGAAACATGCCTGGCCCCACGGGTTTTGGATAGCAAGTCATGGACCTCACTATGACACCCTCATCAATAAATAACAGACTGACAGAACATTAACAGAGGCTTTCAAACAAGCACCTGAGCTTTTCCCAGACACAGAGCACAGCCAGGACTAGAGGAATGGATTAAATGATCTAATATCCATAAAAGACGGATCCAACTACCGATGTGTTCCCCACTGTCCCAGAGCCAGAATCCACAACTACCATCTTGGCCTCTGTGCCTGGGGAAGGCTGCAGGCTCTGGCCTCCCTGCATTTCCCACAGCTCCGGGCCTCTCCATACATCGCCTTCATCCGTGATTTATCCATCCGTTTGCACCTCCAAGCCCTCTCCCAATTTGAATCTGAATCCCTCGAGGGCACTGGCATCCTCTGAATAGCCTCCTGGGCTCCTAGCACACACTGCCCTGTGGCCAGGCCACCAATCAATGTGTACTTGCTGAAAAAACGATCTTCTCATCCACAGTTTCTCATTCTCCACCTCAGGCAGCACACTATGGTTATCGATCATACCCTCCACTGCACACAAAACTCCCTTCCTGGTGACATAGAAGGGCAACCCAGCTTTGCTCTCCTGTCGCTGTGATTTTTGATGCAGTTAGCTGTTTACATTGGAACGACTATCCGAGGAGAACCGAACAGACGGCAAAAACCATGAGGTTCACTCTCCATCTCTGTCTACAACGTTTAAGACTCTAAATAAGGGAAGCAAAGGGCGCGTTGGGTGAGGACCTGGGCAGCTCTTCCTGACTTTTTACTGGTGGAAAGTCAGCATCACATCCAGTATATGCTGAGTGTGTACAGTTTACAGAGGCAGCAGGATAGGACCTTCGGATACAAAAGGAAACAAGAGCAGTGTGGTGTCTTGGAAAGAACACAGGCTTCAGAGCCAACACACCTGCTGATGTGTGGCTCAAGGATAAGCATCATGGGTCCTAGTGATCTCATTTGTTATTATGAAGGTGTTGGTATAGAACTAATACCTTTGGAAGTTAATTTTAGTAACATATTAACTTAATAATTTAACTATAATAATATATTTTATTTAATACAGTATATCCAAGATATCACCATTTCAAACTGTAATCCATTTAAAAAAAAACTGATGATCCATTTTACATCCTTTTTCCATTAGTCTTTGACATCCAGGGTAAGTTTTAGAATTACAGCTAGTCTCCATTTGGATCACCCACCTTCCCAGTGCCCAATAGCCAAGTTTGGCTAGTGACTATCCTATTGGACAACACACCTACAAAGCAATAGACAACTAGTCAGGGATCCCTCCTAGTCTACAGACCTCAAGGGCTCTTTATATGGCCAAAGGGGTCCAGGGCACTGAAAAGATTAGGAATCCTGTCCAGCCAGTGTGGCTCAGTGGTTGAGCATCAACCTATGAACCAGGAGGTCATGTTTGATTCCAGTCAGGGCACATGCCCAGGTTGCAGGAGGCAGCCAATCAATGATTCTCTCTCATCATTGATCTTTCTATCTCTTTCTCCCTCTCCCTTCCTCTTTCTGAAACTATATTTTAAACAAAATTAGGAATCCTTTAGTGCCCAAGTGAGTTTAGGAAAGATCACGGAGTGCAGTAGACAGCAGGGAAGGTTTTACTGCTGAGGGTTTGTGCGGATGGAGGCAGGACTCTGTGCTGGTGAAGAGCCTGGACTGCAGATTCCCCTCCTGTCCTGTCACTTCCCAGCTCTGAGACTTGGGACAAATCATCAGCCTCTTTGTGCCTCAGTCTTCTCATCTATAATTGGGATTTAGAATAGTACTTACATTGAATAGTAGTTATTTTGTGGAGTCAATGAGATCAACTTTGAAATGCTAAGCACAATGCATGGAACACATAGTGTCCAATAAATGCCAATGGCTTTAGGAAAATGAGAATTACTTGGTTACATGGAAATGTGGATTGAGAATGCTCCAAGTGAAAGAAAAACAATCCTTGCCATGATATTCTAGGCCAGTGGTCGGCAAACTCATTAGTCAACAGAACCAAATATCAACAGTACAATGATTGAAATTTCTTTTGAGAGCCAAATTTTTTAATCTTAAACTTCTTCTAACGCCACTTCTTCAAAACAGACTCGCCCAGGCCATGGCATTTTGTGGAAAAGCCACACTCAAGGGGCCAAAGAGCCGCATGTGGCTCGTGAGCCACAGTTTGCCGACCACGTTTCTAGACTTCAAAATGCCTATCAAATGAGAGAACTATTTATTGCTAAATGAATTTTTTCTCATGTTTTTTTGCTAAAGCACCATACTTTAAATTCATTTGGTCGAAGCCTCTTGGGTCCCAGGTCCCATTTCAGAGAGACCTGAAAGTTAACCAGCAGCTGTCCCAAAATTTTACATATCCTTTAAATATCCACGCTTCCCTAGGAGAGAGGGGTTGCTGGGAGGGGCAGGAGATACCAAGGGGGTGCTGACTTGAAATGGCACAATCCATACTAACTAACTAGCGATGAGAGGGCAATCTAGGCCTAAGATTGAGTTTTGAGTGTTGGCAACAGGAAGATTATGCTGAGCACCTATCCTCGGCCCATGCAGACTCTAGAGAAATGGACTCATCTAGAGCAGTGTTTCCCAAACTTTTGACATACGTGTACCCCTTCTATAACTTTCGTAACGCTGAGTACCCCTCGTACTCATGAGAATGTAGAATTAGGCGCAGCTAAGCACGGTGCAGTGCATATCCCCACCAAACTCCAGTGCAAAGCGTACCCCCACCAAACTCTTCCCGTACCCCGGGGGGTACGCGTACCACACTTTGGGAAACACTGATCTAGAGGTTTATTAAAGAAGAAATGGATATCACAGTTCTAGAGTACAGAAACATGATCGCAATCAATAACATGGCCTGATTTCTTTTCATCGATTCGCTGCCGGAAAGCCGAGACGCTCCACGTGAATGGCCAGCTGGAGGGGATGCTGAAACTGAGAGCCTGTGCTGGGAACCAGGAGCCACTCAGCACCCGGCCTGAGCCCGGCCTTTACAGAAAGAGCCCTGGCCCTGGAAGAGATGAGGCCAGGCGTTCTGACGGGCACTGCCCTGGTCTCGAGGAGGGGCCTCTGGGTTGGGACTGGCAGCTCTTCTTGAGATGGTGCCCTTCACTCTCCTTCCTTTAGCATGCCTTCTTTCGTGCTTCTCTCTTGGTAGGGTGCCTTTGCCCCCAAATGGAAAAGTCCTACTCTTGTAAAGGCAAGCTGGCTCCTGTCTTCATCTGAAGGTCGTCGGGGAGGCCTCCTCCCCTTAAAAGCTGGGGTTGAGCCCTAGCTGGTTTGGCTCAGTGAATAGACCGTGGGCCTGCGGACTGAAGAATCCTGGGTTCGATTCTGATCAAAGGCACATGCCAGGGTTAAGGGCTTGGTTCCTGGTAGGGGGTGTGCAGGAGGCAGCCAAGCAATGAGTCTCATCATTGATATTTCTCTCTGTGTCCCTCTCCCTTCTTTCTCTGAAATATATTTATATATTTAAAAAGCTACAGTTGAAATAATTGCACTTATCCCCTTTCTCTATGCTCCCAAAGTCTATTTTTAAAAGAATACATGGAGAATGGCAGAAAGAAAGAACCACAGAAGGCTTTTTCTCGTTTTCTCTTTATCCACAGAACAGAGTACAGGACTACAGTTTGATCATGTCCTATTGTCTATTCCACTTATTTTGGCTCCCGATGGGTATTGCAATTTGGGAGAGAAAAGGCATCCTGGAGC